CTCCCCTATACCTCTAGCCAATGTAGAATAAAAAAAAACACAGCGATACGCACAGTAAAACTCAGTTAAAAAGAAGTCCGAGTCCGATGTCAGAATAGGTAATAAAAGAAACTAAGCAAAATGACATTGATACATAAATTAACAAAGGACTACTAGCAGTTACTGACATGCCAGCTCCAGACCTCAATTAAACTGATTGAAAGATTATGTCTTCATCATATGAAAATCAAGTACAATCCCTCCCGTTAGGGGTTTAGTACCATACCATCATAAAATATATGAGAAGAACATAACCCGTATCATGCCAACAACTGGTTTTAGAATAAAAGTGTTTATTTCAGATGCAAAGACCCTATGAGTGAATCAATATTAATACCAAAATATGCATATTTTATAAGTTAATTCCTATTTTATTACCGACTTATCAATTTCCTTACTGTATATATGTTATACCACATCTTCCTATATCTATGTTGATTTGTTAAGTGTATTTGATGTTCACATACCCCGGAGGTCTTTCTGCACAAGTTCTTGAATTAAAATGAATCTTCAAACTTCAAACTTGAGAAATTATTTCGGATTCTAAAGCCTTGATATCTTACAATGTGTTCAACTGAATATCTCGTTATTGTACAAACCAATGCAACTTTCGTCTTTTCCTTCAAACTCATTTCGAATTATAGCAGCAGGTCAGTACCGACTTCCTATGACATGGAAAAAGTTAAAAAAAATAATGGTTAATAGTTCAAACAAGCAACATTGTTGTCAACTGAGAATTGTCCAACCAAAGATACAGCTCTTAACTATGGATTGTCCAGTCAATAGTACAGTGGTTAACTGTGGATTGTTAAGCCGCCAACGATACAGATGTTAACTGAGTATTGCCAAGTCAACGATACAGTTCTTTACTGTGGATTGTCAAGCCAACGATACAGTTGTTAACTGAGTATTGCCAAGTCAACGATACTGCTCTTTACTGTGGATTGTCAAGCCAACGATACAGTTGTTAACTGAGTATTGCCAAGTCAACGATACAGCTCTTTACTGTGGATTGTCCAGTCAACGATATATGTCTTAACTGCGGATTATCCAGCTAACAATAAAGTTCTTTACTAAGTATTGTCCAGGCAACTTTACATCTCTTAACTGTGGATTATCAAGCCAACTATACACTTGTTAACTGAGTATTGTCCAGTCATCGATTTAGCACTAAACTTTGGAGTGTTCAACTAACGATACAGCCATTTAATGTGGATTGTCCAGCTAACGATACAGCTCTTTACAGTGAATTGTCAAGCCATCGATACAATTGTTAACTGAAAAATGTCCAACCAACGATACAGCTCTTTACTGTGGATTGTCAAGCCAACGATACAGTTGTTAACTGAGTATTGCCAAGTCAACGATACAGCTCTTTACTGTGGATTGTCAAGCCAACGATACAGTTGTTAACTGAGTATTGCCAAGTCAACGATACAGCTCTTTACTGTGATTTGTCCAGCCAACTATACAGATCTTAACTAAGAATTGTCCAGCTAAAGATACAGCTCTTAACTGAGATTTGTCCAATGATACAGATCTTTACTGTGGATTGTCCAGCCAACGATACAACTCTTTACTGTCGATTGTCTATCCACCGATACAGTTGTTAACTAAGGATTGTCCAACCAACGATACACTTGTTAACTGAGTATTGTTCAGCCATCGCTACAGTTCTTAACTATGCATTGTCCAGCTAACAATACAGCTCTTTACTGAGGATTGTCAAGCCAACGAAACAGTTGTTACTGTGGATTCATTTATTTTCGTGGGAACCAATTTTCGTGGATTGAGGAAAAATTACATATTCGTGGATATTTAATTTCGTAGTTTTGCAGAAGTCAGCATACAAGCCTATGGAAAAATTGTCATTACTTGAACATTTAATTTCCTGGTTCACCTGTACCAACGAAATCAACGAAAATTGGTATCCAACGAATAATAATGAATCCACAGTAACTGAGTATTGTCCAGTCAACTATACAGCTTGTTTACTGTTGATTGTCCAGTCAACGATACACTTGTTTACTGAGTATAGTCCAACCATCGATACACTTTTTAACTGAGTATTGTTCAGCTAACGATACAGCTCTTTACTGTGGTTTGTCAGGACAACGATACAGTTGTTAACTGAGTAGTGTCCAACCAACGATACAGCTTGTAACTGTGGATTGTCCAGACAAAATATATTTGTTTACTGATTATTGTCCAGCCAACGTTACAGCTCTTTACTGTCGATTGTCTAGCCACCCATACAGTTGTTAACTAAGGATTGTCCAACCAACGATACACTTGTTAAATAAGTATTGTTCAGCCATCGCTACAGTTCTTAACTATGCATTGTCCAGCTAACAATACAGCTCTTTACTGAGGATTGTCAAGCCAACGAAACAGTTGTTACTGTGGATTCATTTATTTTCGTGGGAACCAATTTTCGTGGATTGAGGAAAAATTACATATTCGTGGATATTTAATTTCGTAGTTTTGCAGAAGTCAGCATACAAGCCTATGGAAAATTTGTCATTACTTGAACATTTAATTTCCTGGTTCACCTGTATCAACGAAATCAACGAAAATTGGTATCCAACGAATAATAATGAATCCACAGTAACTGAGTATTGTCCAGTCACACTATACAGCTTGTTTACTGTGGATTGTCCAGTCAACGATACACTTGTTTACTGAGTATAGTCCAGTCATCGATACACTTTTTAACTGAGTATTGTTCAGCTACCGATACATCTCTTTACTGTGGTTTGTCAGGATAACGATACGGTTGCTAACTGAGTAGTGTCCAATCAACGATACAGCTTGTAACTGTGGATTGTCCAGACAAAATATACTTGTTTACTGATTATTGTCCAGCCAACGATACAGCTTTTTATTGTGAATTATCCAACAAACGATAAATCTCTTTACTGTAGTTTTTCTAGCTAACTGACGTGACTAGAATTTCTCCAACATCGGAGATGAATAACATTGTTTTACAATCCAAATGATTTAGGCCCGTTTCAGATGGCAGAGGGTCCATACTGGGAAGTTGTTGTAAATCAATACACGAGACTGGATACATGAACGTTCACATACTTTATTTTTCCATCCAATATATATACAATCACAGATCATAAAGCATATTTACAAAACAGTAATCATGGCAACATACATTAACCCGCCGCTACTCGCAGATCGAGAGCGGGGAAAACCGATGCGTCACATGGTTCTCTCTTTTTTTTTCTCTCTTCTCTTTGGTTTCAAAATTAACCTTTATAAAACATGATCATAGAAGCGTTTTGACCAATGAAAATAGAAAAAGGTACTTCTAAACAAATAGTTTCCAAACAATGAAATATATCAAAAGCAGATTAAATTAAGAATTAGTGTTAATTGACATTATTCACTCTATATAAAGTTCGGGTGTTGACAAATAAATTACATTGATGACCATTGTTGTCAAAAAGTATTCTCATGACATAATCTTAATCTTAATCCATAAATATTTCCATGTAACGCTAAAACGGCTTATAAATGTCTTTTATGAAAATATTTGAAAAATAGTTCAAAACCTTGTTTCCCTAACAAAATGCACTCCTTCCGTAATAAAAATATTGAAACTTAATTACTCATAAGAAATAATGACTTTTGATACCAAACACGACATAAAAAGATGAAAATGCTAGAATGCACAATTTCACGCATTTTTACAACATGACAACTCTCCCAACATCCCTCTAGCTCCGGACCCCGAAGCTGTATACATTTTGACATCAACATCTACATCTGACATAAACTTTTCTCAATTTTTTATAATCTTGCACATATTAATTTTGAAAAAAAATCTATCATGCGGACGGACCTCTACTTCGTAAACGTAATTGAGAACCATTTACACGAAAATAAAAACCAAGTAATATACAAAAATAAAACATCGTCTATTTAATGCTAGGTTTTGGTCCGTTGAGGTTCGAAATTCATCTAAGGCAGGCCCCCTATAACCTCCTTAAAATTTCAACCCGGACAGAATACCGTTCGCACTTTCAATAGAACAATATCTTGGTCAAAGTTATCAGAATGCCTTCCTTAGCTTTGGATAACCTGTCAATTGCCTTTATTAGCTTTGTGACAAATACCAACGATATCCAGTTTTCTGTTTTCGTAGATTACAAGGTGCGTGATCATGGGTTTTAAATCGCTCGTCTTCATGAAGTAAAAACAAATTGCTTAAAATATTACACATTTATATTGATTTTGACTGAGCTTATACAAAATTTCTAGTAGTTGATCAGACTACGTTTAGCACTATAAACATCAAGAAAAAAGAAACAATAGACCGGCTATTGGACTTCAACTAGATACGAAATCGTTCAATCAAAAGCAATAAAATATGCAAGTGTGAAAAAAAAATGTTAAATATAAAGCAAATGTAATATAAATTCAAACTGAAGTTCAATACAAGTGTAAGTAATTTCCAATAGTATCTCATTTCACAATTAAAATCGAACCGTTTTCTCTTCACACGGCACATCACATCAATGGTAGAATCCACCATACTGCGAATACAAGTGGTCACATCCACTTAAGCAAATAAAATTAATCACAAGCGGCAAATCTTAAGTTGTTCGTGGTCATGGTCGAGGAATGTCATGTCGTTTCGATATTCTTCATCTGTCGCTGTTCGTGGTTATGGTCGCTTCATCAAAAGGTATATCCATATTGAATACTAGTAAGTGATTCTGGAAACAAATTTTGGATAACTGGTATAAAGTTCTTCAATGGGGACACTCAGCTTGGCAGTGAAAGGTAAACACAGGATCGGCACTCATCCTCCGCCATTTGACGTGACTAGAATTTCTCCAACATCGGAGATGAATAACATTGTTTTACAATCCAAATGATTTATGCCCGTTTCAGATGGCAGAGGGTCCATACTGGGAAGTTGTTGTAAATCAATACACGAGACTGGATACATGAACGTTCACATACTTTATTTTTCCATCCAACATATATACAATCACAGTTCATAAAGCATATTTACAAAACAGTAATCATGGCAACCTACATTAACCCGCCGCTACTCGCAGATCGAGAGCGGGGCGAACCGATGCGTCACATGGTTCTCTCTTTTTTTTCTCTCTTCTCTTTGGTTTCAAAATTAACCTTTATAAAACATGATCATAGAAGCGTTTTGACCAATGAAAATAGAAAAAGGTACTTCTAAACAAATAGTTTCCAAACAATGAAATATATCAAAAGCAGATTAAATTAAGAATTAGTGTTAATTGACATTATTCACTCTATATAAAGTTCGGGTATTGACAAATAAATTACATTGATAACCATTGTTGTCAAAAAGTATTCTCATGACATAATCTTAATCTTAATCCATAAATATTTCCATGTAACGCTAAAACGGCTTATAAATGTCTTTTATGAAAATATTTGAAAAATAGCTCAAAACCTTGTTTCCCTAACAAAATGCACTCCTTCCGTAATAAAAATATTGAAACTTAATTACTCATAAGAAATAATGACTTTTGATACCAAACACGACATAAAAAGATGAAAATGCTAAAATGCACAATTTCACGCATTTTTACAACATGACATAACGATACAGTTCTTTACTGTGGATTATCCAGCTAACAATGCAGCTCTTTACTGTGAACTGTTCAGCTATCAATACATCTCTTAACTGTTGATTGTCCAGCCAACGATACAGCTCCTTACAGTGGATTGTGCAGCCAACGATACAGCTCTCTATTGCGGATTGTACAGCCAACGATACAACTTTTTACTGTGGATTGTCCAGCTCTAAACTGTGGATTAGCCTGCTTACGATACAGCTCTTTACTGTGGATTGTCCAGCACCTATTACAGTTCTTTACTGTCGATTGTTCAGCTAACGATACAGCTTCTTACTGTGTATAGTCCAGCTAACGGTACAGCTCTTTACTGTGGATTGTTCAGCCAATGATACCGCTCTGTACTGAGGATTGTCCATCTTACGATACGGCTCTTTACTGTGGATTGTTCAGCCAACGATACAGCTCTTTACTGTGGAATTTCCAGTTAACGATACGGCTCTCTACTATGGATTGTCCAGCCAACGGTACAGTTTTTAACTGAAGATTGTCAAGCCAACGATACAGTTGTTAACTGAGTATTGCCAAGTCAACGATACAACTCTTTACTGTGGATTGTCCAGCCAACGATATATGTCTTAACATCGGATTATCCAGCTAACAATAAAGTTCTTTACTAAGTATTGTCCAGCCAACTTTACATCTCTTAACTGTGGATTATAAAGCCAACTATACACTTGTTAACTGAGTATTGTCCAGTCATAGATTCAGCACTAAACTTTGGAGTGTTCAACTAACGATACAGCCATGTAATGTGGATTGTCCAGCTAGCGATACAGCTCTTTACAGTTAATTGTCAAGCCATCGATACAATTGTTAACTGAAAAATGTCCAACCAACGATACAGCTCTTAACTGTGGACTGTTCAGCCAACGATACAGCTCTTAACTGTGGATTGTCCAGCTAACGATACAGCTCTTTACTCTAGATTGTCCAGCTAGACATACATCTCTTTACCATGGATTGTCCACATAACGATACAGCTCTTCACAGTGAATTGTCAAGCCATCGATACAATTGTTAGCTGAGAATTGTCCAACCAACGATACAGCTCTTAACTGTTGATTGTCCAGCCAACGATACAGCTCTTTTAACTGGATTGTCCATACACTTGTTTACTGAGTATTGTCCAGCCATCGATACAACTCTTAACTGTTGACTGTCAAGCTAACCACAAAGCTCTTTACTCTTGATTGTCCAGCTAACGATACAGCTCTTTACTGTGGATTGTCAAGCCAACGATACAGTTGTTAACTGAGTATTGTACCACAAACGATACTGCTCTTAACTGTGGATTGTCCAGCCAACGATACAGCCGTTTTAATGTTGTTTGTACAGCCAACAATACATGTCTTAACTGTGGATTATATGGCTAACGATACAGCTCTTTTAACTGTGGATTGTCCAGACAACGATAAAGATGTTAACTGAGTATCGTCCAGCCAACTATACAGCTCTTAACTGTGGATTGTCAAGCAAACGATACACTTGTTAACTGAGTATTGTCCAGTCATCGATTTAGTACTTAACTTTGGATTGTCCAACTAACAATACAGCTCTTTACTGTGGATTGTCCAGCTCACGATACAGCTCAGTACAGTGAATTGTCAAGCCATCGATACAATTGTTAACTGAGAATTGTCCAACCAACGATACAGCTCTTAACTGTGGACTGTTCAGCCAACTATACAGCTCTTTAAACTGTGGATTGTCCAGCCACCGATACAGCTCTTAACTGTGAATTGTCCAGCTAACGATACAGCTCTTTACTCTAGATTTCCAGCTAACCATACAGCTCTTTACCGTGGATTGTCCACATAACGAAACAGCTCTTAACTGTGGATTGACCAGTCAACGATACAGCTCTTTACGGCGGATTGTCCAGCCAACGATACAGCTCTCTACTGTTAATTGTCCAGTCAACGATACAGCTCTTAACTGTGATTTGTCCAGCCAACTATACAGATCTTAACTAAGAATTGTCCAGCTAAAGATACAGCTTGTAACTGAGATTTGTCCAATGATACAGATCTTTACTGTGGATTGTCCAGCCAACAATACAGCTCTTTACTGTCGATTGTCTATCCACCGATACAGTTGTTAACTAAGGATTGTCCAACCAACGATACACTTGTTAACTGAGTATTGTTCAGCCATCGCTACAGTTCTTAACTATGCATTGTCCAGCTAACAATACAGCTCTTTACTGAGGATTGTCAAGCCAACGAAACAGTTGTTACTGTGGATTCATTTATTTTCGTGGGAACCAATTTTCGTGGATTGAGGAAAAATTACATATTCGTGGATATTTAATTTCGTAGTTTTGCAGAAGTCAGCATACAAGCCTATGGAAAATTTGTCATTACTTGAACATTTAATTTCCTGGTTCACCTGTACCAACGAAATCAACGAAAATTGGTATCCAACGAATAATAATGAATCCACAGTAACAGAGTATTGTCCAGTCAACTATACAGCTTGTTTACTGTTGATTGTCCAGTCAACGATACACTTGTTTACTGAGTATAGTCCAACCATCGATACACTTTTTAACTGAGTATTGTTCAGCTAACGATACAGCTCTTTACTGTGGTTTGTCAGGACGATACAGTTGTTAACTGAGTAGTGTCCAACCAACGATACAGCTTGTAACTGTGGATTGTCCAGACAAAATATATTTGTTTACTGATTATTGTCCAGCCAACGTTACAGCTCTTTACTGTCGATTGTCTAGCCACCCATACAGTTGTTAACTAAGGATTGTCCAACCAACGATACACTTGTTAAATGAGTATTGTTCAGCCATCGCTACAGTTCTTAACTATGCATTGTCCAGCTAACAATACAGCTCTTTACTGAGGATTGTCAAGCCAACGAAACAGTTGTTACTGTGGATTCATTTATTTTCGTGGGAACCAATTTTCGTGGATTGAGGAAAAATTACATATTCGTGGATATTTAATTTCGTAGTTTTGCAGAAGTCAGCATACAAGCCTATGGAAAATTTGTCATTACTTGAACATTTAATTTCCTGGTTCACCTGTATCAACGAAATCAACGAAAATTGGTATCCAACGAATAATAATGAATCCACAGTAACTGAGTATTGTCCAGTCACACTATACAGCTTGTTTACTGTGGATTGTCCAGTCAACGATACACTTGTTTACTGAGTATAGTCCAGCCATCGATACACTTTTTAACTGAGTATTGTTCAGCTACCGATACATCTCTTTACTGTGGTTTGTCATGATAACGATACAGTTGCTAACTGAGTAGTGTCCAATCAACGATACAGCTTGTAACTGTGGATTGTCCAGACAAAATATACTTGTTTACTGATTATTGTCCAGCCAACGATACAGCTTTTTATTGTGGATTATCCAACAAACGATAAATCTCTTTACTGTAGTTTTTCTAGCTAACTGACGTGACTAGAATTTCTCCAACATCGGAGATGAATAACATTGTTTTACAATCCAAATGATTTAGGCCCGTTTCAGATGGCAGAGGGTCCATACTGGGAAGTTGTTGTAAATCAATACACGAGACTGGATACATGAACGTTCACATACTTTATTTTTCCATCCAATATATATACAATCACAGATCATAAAGCATATTTACAAAACAGTAATCATGGCAACATACATTAACCCGCCGCTACTCGCAGATCGAGAGCGGGGCGAACCGATGCGTCACATGGTTCTCTTTTTTTTTTTTCTCTCTTCTCTTTGGTTTCAAAATTAACCTTTATAAAACATGATCATAGAAGCGTTTTGACCAATGAAAATAGAAAAAGGTACTTCTAAACAAATAGTTTCCAAACAATGAAATATATCAAAAGCAGATTAAATTAAGAATTAGTGTTAATTGACATTATTCACTCTATATAAAGTTCGGGTGTTGACAAATAAATTACATTGATGACCATTGTTGTCAAAAAGTATTCTCACGACATAATCTTAATCTTAATCCATAAATATTTCCATGTAACGCTAAAACGGCTTATAAATGTCTTTTATGAAAATATTTGAAAAATAGTTCAAAACCTTGTTTCCCTAACAAAATGCACTCCTTCCGTAATAAAAACATTGAAACTTAATTACTCATAAGAAATAATGACTTTTGATACCAAACACGACATAAAAAGATGAAAATGCTAGAATGCACAATTTCACGCATTTTTACAACATGACAACTCTCCCAACATCCCTCTAGCTTCGGACCCCGAAGCTGTATACATTTTGACATCAACATCTACATCTGACATAAACTTTTCTCAATTTTTTATAATCTTGCGCATATTAATTTTGAAAAAAAAATCTATCATGCGGACGGACCTCTACTTCGTAAACGTAATTGAGAACCATTTACACGAAAATAAAAACCAAGTAATATACAAAAATAAAACATCGTCTATTTAATGCTAGGTTTTGGTCCGTTGAGGTTCGAAATTCATCTAAGGCAGGCCCCCTATAACCTCCTTAAAATTTCAACCCGGACAGAATACCGTTCGCACTTTCAATAGAACAATATCTTGGTCAAAGTTATCAGAATGCCTTCCTTAGCTTTGGATAACCTGTCAATTGCCTTTATTAGCTTTGTGACAAATACCAACGATATCCAGTTTTCTGTTTTCGTAGATTACAAGGTGCGTGATCATGGGTTTTAAATCGCTCGTCTTCATGAAGTAAAAACAAATTGCTTAAAATATTACACATTTATATTGATTTTGACTGAGCTTATACAAAATTTCTAGTAGTTGATCAGACTACGTTTAGCACTATAAACATCAAGAAAAAAGAAACAATAGACCGGCTATTGGTCTTCAACTAGATACGAAATCGTTCAATCAAAAGCAATAAAATATGCAAGTGTGAAAAAAAAATGTTAAATATAAAGCAAATGTAATATAAATTCAAACTGAAGTTCAATACAAGTGTAAGTAATTTCCAATAGTATCTCATTTCACAATTAAAATCGAACCGTTTTCTCTTCACACGGCACATCACATCAATGGTAGAATCCACCATACTGCGAATACAAGTGGTCACATCCACTTTAGCAAATAAAATTAATCACAAGCGGCAAATCTTAAGTTGTTCGTGGTCATGGTCGAGGAATGTCATGTCGTTTCGATATTCTTCATCTGTCGCTGTTCGTGGTTATGGTCGCTTCATCAAAAGGTATATCCATATTGAATACTAGTAAGTGATTCTGGAAACAAATTTTGGATAACTGGTATAAAGTTCTTCAATGGGGACACTCAGCTTGGCAGTGAAAGGTAAACACAGGATCGGCACTCATCCTCCGCCATTTGACGTGACTAGAATTTCTCCAACATCGGAGATGAATAACATTGTTTTACAATCCAAATGATTTAGGCCCGTTTCAGATGGCAGAGGGTCCATACTGGGAAGTTGTTGTAAATCAATACACGAGACTGGATACATGAACGTTCACATACTTTATTTTTCCATCCAACATATATACAATCACAGTTCATAAAGCATATTTACAAAACAGTAATCATGGCAACCTACATTAACCCGCCGCTACTCGCAGATCGAGAGCGGGGCGAACCGATGCGTCACATGGTTCTCTCTTTTTTTTCTCTCTTCTCTTTGGTTTCAAAATTAACCTTTATAAAACATGATCATAGAAGCGTTTTGACCAATGAAAATAGAAAAAGGTACTTCTAAACAAATAGTTTCCAAACAATGAAATATATCAAAAGCAGATTAAATTAAGAATTAGTGTTAATTGACATTATTCACTCTATATAAAGTTCGGGTATTGACAAATAAATTACATTGATAACCATTGTTGTCAAAAAGTATTCTCATGACATAATCTTAATCTTAATCCATAAATATTTCCATGTAACGCTAAAACGGCTTATAAATGTCTTTTATGAAAATATTTGAAAAATAGTTCAAAACCTTGTTTCCCTAACAAAATGCACTCCTTCCGTAATAAAAATATTGAAACTTATTTACTCATAAGAAATAATGACTTTTGATACCAAACACGACATAAAAAGATGAAAATGCTAAAATGCACAATTTCACGCATTTTTACAACATGACATAACGATACAGTTCTTTACTGTGGATTATCCAGCTAACAATGCAGCTCTTTACTGTGAACTGTTCAGCTATCAATACAGCTCTTAACTGTTGATTGTCCAGCCAACGATACAGCTCCTTACAGTGGATTGTGCAGCCAACGATACAGCTCTCTATTGCGGATTGTACAGCCAACGATACAACTTTTTACTGTGGATTGTCCAGCTCTTAACTGTGGATTAGCCTGCTTACGATACAGCTCTTTACTGTGGATTGTCCAGCACCTATTACAGTTCTTTACTGTCGATTGTTCAATTAACGATACAGCTTCTTACTGTGTATAGTCCAGCTAACGGTACAGCTCTTTACTGTGGATTGTTCAGCCAATGATACCGCTCTGTACTGAGGATTGTCCATCTAACGATACGGCTCTTTACTGTGGATTGTTCAGCCAACGATACAGCTCTTTACTGTGGAATTTCCAGTTAACGATACGGCTCTCTACTATGGATTGTCCAGCCAACGGTACAGTTTTTAACTGAAGATTGTTAAGTCAACGATACAGTTGTTTACTTAGGATTGTCCAGCCAACGATACAGTCGTAAACTAGGGAATGTCAAGCCACCAATACAGTTTTTAACTGAGGCTTGTCTAGCCAACAATACAGATTTTAACTGGGGATTTTCCAGCCACACAACTGAGGACTGTCAAACAAAATAATAAAAGAATAATATGTGATAGTTTAAAGATTACATGTTTACTTCTCTACTACTAGTATTGTTATACGTGTTTGAAGTTCCGTATAGTATATTGTAAACACATTAAATTATTAATGACATTAATGCAATTAAAGTCTCTTTTCCGGATTATGGTTTCCTGAGTGATCTTTGTAATTAGAATCTCTTTTTTTTAGATCTCAAAATGTTTTTCCTAACTGTTGTTAAGGTAAGTTTAAATTTAATATAAAAGGAGGTTTTCGTTGGCCGCTTTCTATTCTATTTAATTTCTACTAATCAAATAATAATATACTAGTAATCGATATTAAAATATACATTGATAGCAAACATACAAATCTTGGTGCCAAAGTTGATAACTAATTAAAAATAGACAGAAAATACGAAAACCAAATAATAATTACAAGGATTGCAACATATATCCACTAACCATGTGAACATACTTTGTCGTTCATGGTCTTCCAGAGGATTTTTTTTTATATATTTTACATCTAATACATAATTACATAAGGTATTTGTTTTATGGGTGATTGAGAAGAAAAATATCAGGAATCTGAATCGAAATATATGTAAGGTTTCACAGCAAAAACAGTTTGTTACCATATATCCTTCAACAACATGGTTTGTAACATTGGTCCTAGCAGGCTAAATAGTTTGATAGCACACATTTTATTTAAACATCAACCTCTAAAACTGTCCTGAACAGCTGATGTCATTTCAAGTCTTGATGGGAGTTCGGTTTGCTCAAAGTTTAGTTTAAAGTAATCTCTATTCTTTTTAAGTACAAAATTTCGTCAAAGTCTCTTTAGGCCAACAGGTTTGGAAATACATCAGTTTTGAATTATATGGGTGTTTATATTATTAATGTTTACTTAATATCTTTAGGCTTTGGTTGTACTTGAAACGGCTGCGGTAAACCACTAATTCAACCACAATAAACCAATGTATACTAAACAAAACAAAAAAAGAAACGCGCCATCTCCATTGATTTTTTCTTAGAGTTAACATTTCTATTGCATATAACTTTCTAAAAGTTATTGAAATGAGCCAAAATTCTGTAAAACAGACACATTTTGAACAATAAAAAAAAATGTTGCAAAATTTACAAAAACTTGTGAATCTTTTCACCTGAAAATATGGTTAATTACTTTAATGTTTTCTTCTTGATTCGTTTTCTAATATGACAAAGATCATTCAACTGTAAACACGTGGATTGATTTCAATTTTATGCCTATAATATTCTAGAGTTTTGCAATTTGTTAGCAAATTCAAGAAATTATGAAACTTCTATGTATAGGAGAGAAGTTGTGTATTATTTGTGTTCTTGAGTATAATTCAATTACTTTTACATATTGAGAGGCTTTCTGATGGAGAGAATCATACCACATCTTCTCATATTATATATAATAACAGCCCAGAGAAATGGGAATATTTTTTATTTTTTACTAATCTTATAGGTGTTGGTTATACTTGCCGCAGTAGAAGCTCATTACTATTACAAACCGAAGAAATCAGGTAATGATAGATTTTTTTCATCTTATTTAAGAATGTAATCTCAATTATTTTTCAGCTTAAATGACGTGAAAATAAAACTAACTAATGAACACAAAAAAAACCCGAAAAAATCATGTAAACATATATAAATATAAGTGCAGGACTAGGGTCAATTTGACGTGATTTTATTTCAATTATCTTCTGTCGAAACAAACAATTTTCTTGGTAAGGGTTATCTTCCCTTAATTTATTTATTTATTTGGTTATCGCATATCCCCCGTTGCCAAATAAAAATAACTTATTATTTCAAATTGGTTATTTAACATTCTCAGAATTCTCGACATTTTATAGGAGTCCTGCAGTTTTCCTTTTATTTATCTTTGAAGGTTGTGTACCCCCGTATTCAAATGTTACTTTTGTACGTTATATGGAAAATGTGTGTATGTCAAACATATTTTACTATACTTTAAAAATATTTTTTTATATAGATTTATTTTTGTGCCTTTCGAAATTTTTTCTAAAACACTTCATTTTACCTTTAAATGTTTTTTTATGTCATTTTCATAGTTACAATTTAAAATTTCAGAAAACCACTACCTCTTTAGTTGTTTTGATAGAAAGACAGCTATCTTATTTGTTATACTTTTTGTACGAAAGAAAAACAATAAGTAATAGTAAAAGTTCAATGATAAGTTAATATTGATATTAAAAGACCTTCGAAACAAAAAGGGATGTTGAGATCCACGAGCCAGAAGGGCGAGGGGATTTGAACAGTCCTTTTTGTGAGGAGGTTTTTAATGTCAATATTAACTTAATCATTGAACTTTTACTGACTTACAAACCGTCTAAAACACAGAAAAGTAAGTAAAAAAACACTAAGCATGTTCCCGTTGTAGCGTTACCCGTGTTTGTTTCTTAACATTGTCAGACAAGAATTAAGAAATGTTTTTAGCAGTTTTGATGAAATACGATAGATGATATAGGTT